CAAGCGAAAGCTAACCTACGAAGCATGATTAGATAGGAGCGTTGGACTGAGGACCATGAAGCATGCTCATCAGAATATTAAGACTTGTGAAAATTTGATTGCATTCAGCCACAAGAGCATTAGTGAGGCCAGGTACTGATGTTGGATGGCCAGTTCTGGATCACTCCAACTCATCCACAAGGTATTGGGTGGAGCTCCATCATTCCAGAGAACACAGTTACACTGCCAGTGCTGGGGGGACTTTATGCACCTGTAGCTGAAGCTCGACAGTGACCTTAGGCTCACGTGTGGCAGCTCCACAGCGTCCCATTCTATGGTCAGTGCTTTTCTCTAGAGATTATACAAGCTCTGTGTGGACAATTGAATACCTGTGTCAGCAGTGAGTGCACCTTTAATGTAGCTGAGTTCATCAGAAGAGGTGTCTGGATACTTTTGGTCAGATAGTGTAGCTTGTTTTGAGTGGACAGGTTACATATCTGTGCTGTTTAATTTCATTGGACGTTACGTTTCTGCATTACTTGTTTTAATCAGGCACGTTACAGCTTGTTTTAATTGGACGTGGTGCACATCTGACAGCTCGTTTTAATTGGACGTCGTACACATCTGACGGCTTGTTTTGATTGGACGTGGTACACGTCTGGCAGCTTATTTTAATCGGGAATGTTACACATCTGACAGCTTGTTTCCATTGGAAATGGTACATGTCTGCATTGCTTGTTTAGATTGGACATATAATACACCTGACAGCTTGTTATTATTGACTTTTTTTATTTTATTTATTGTCCAACAGGTTACATATCTGTGCTGTTTATTTTCATTGGATATGTTACATTTCTGCATTTCTGGGGGTTAGTTTGGAGCGAAAGACTAGAACTTCCCATAGTATTTTATCTCCTCTCTCTCTCTCTCTCTCTATATATATATATGTATATGTATGTATGTATGTATATGTATGTATATTTCTATCTCTATCTCTATTTCTATTTCTATTTCTGTGTCTATTTCTGTTTTTCTCACTCTGTCTCTGCTCTCTCTTCTTGCTCTCTTTCGTTTCCCCCTCCCCACTGTTTCTCTTTCTGTTTCCATTTTTCTCTCTCACCCATTTTACACACTCTTAGCTTCTCTCTCAGTTGACACTCGCGCGCTCTCTCTCTCTCTCTCTCGCTCGCTCTCTCGCTCTCGCTCTCTGACTGGGATATTCCTCTGTTCTTCAGGGCCGCTGGGTGCTGAACTGAATCCTCCAGCTTCAGGAGCTCCAGCGCTGAGAGATGGGGGACTACTACCAGATTCTGGGTGTTCGGCAGGACGCGTCTCCGGACGACATAAAGAAAGCGTGAGTAGCCCTCGTCCTCTCCAGACGACTATTTTTACACTGTGTGGACGTTAGCGTGGGCGTAATGGACTAATTATAACCCTGAATAAACAAGTGTGCCGTTTCCACTTAACCACAGAACCCTAGTCGGCTCGCTGAAACGGACATCTGCTCTTTTATTGAAGGGTTTTAATATTTGTACGTGTGAGGAGATTTTAGTTAGGGAACTGAAGTCCTTGTCCATGTGCACGTCTCTCTATCTCTTTGTCCTTGTCCCTCTCCTTGTTGATGGTGCCTTTCTTGCAGAAGGTCATCAACATGGCCAGACACCCTCTAATTTCTCTCCGTTCGCTGTATGGGGAGTGCAGTGACTAACTTCTCCCACTATCACAGATTAGCTGCTTGGCATCAAGAGCTCAGCACACGGGAATGTTTCCTGTCAGAGAGTTTCACAGAAATAGTTTTTGGCTGAGCTGACATTAACGTCACGGCCGCTCTTGCATCAGTGGGCCTCCACTGGAAAAGTGCTGCGTTTAGGAGACCTTTTGTAGAATTCAGACATCTTTCACTTAAACGTCCCTCGGCCTGATTCATCCTGTCAATGGAGTTTGTGTTGTCTGTGTTTTTTCTTTTCTCTTTTTTTGTCTCTGGAAAAGTTGAGTCTGTAGAATTCCCTATTCTATACGCTTTCTCCATTTGCAAATAGAAAACAAGGGGGATCTGCTAAAGCACGTGGTCCAGGGATAGACTCTGAAGAGATGGACTAGAAGTAAATCCCCCCTCTATAGACCCTTTGGTTTGGTCCTAAGGCTGTGCGTTTGTGGTGCTGCTTTAGCATTGCTGACTCTGGTGTTTGTATACGTTGGATTGTGGAGCTATAGAAGTGCTGAGTCCACTGGTTAAGGCAAGGACACTCTGTAAGCCATCCATGTCATGAATAAGGACTGACCAGTATCAACATTTTCATTTTACGTTCTAATGATATGATTATTTGATTATGATTCTAGTTATCAGCTTATACGAGCTGGCATTGTCTGGAATCATCATTCAACATTTTTTAAATGAATGTTTTCAGTAGTGTAAAAGCAATTAGATATTTGTTTAGATTGCTTACGTGTTCAGCTTTAATTTGATATCTCAAACCAATGTTTGTGTTTATTGTACTGAGGTAGGTCTGAGATGATGGATGATATCGTAAATCGTAGTTTCCATCAAGTCGGATGATTTAAGTATCTGAAAACACACTGTCTGCAACCTTTTAAGAAGCACAAAAGTAATATTTTCCTCATGATCTGTGTTTCTTTTAACGAGTGTGCTTTTAATGTGTAATATTAGTCCGTTTCCTGAATCAGCTCTGATTTGTTTTCTGGTGGTAGAGCATTCTGTAGCCGTGCCAGGTAAATCTTTTTATTATTGTTTTGTTTTTTTGTTTTTTTTTTCCTGTTGTCGTGCTTGTTACGTACACAGAATGGCTTCACTCATGAAACATGAAGGTGGCTCAAAAGAGTTGTACATTGTGGTTTACATCAGTTATTAAAAATGAAAAAACAGTCTTTTGGATTTTAGCATTTTATCATTTTAACAAGAAGCCAAGAAGCAGTTTATAGTCTATAAAAATAGATTAAAAACCGTAGCATGAACTAGCAAACCGTAGAAAAGACTACCAAAACACACCAAGAACTACTGAACCATTGAAAAGACTACCAAAACACACCAAGAACTACTGAACCATTGAAAAGACTACCAAACCACACCAAGAACTACCAAACCGTAGAAAAGACTACCAAACCACACCAAGAACTACCAAACCGTAGAAAAGACTACCAAACCACACCAAGAGCTACCAAACAATATCAAGAACTACCAAACCATAGAAAGACTACCAAACCATAGAAAGACTACCAAACCACACCAAGAACTACCAAACTGTAGAAAAGACTACCAAACCACACCAAGAACTACCAAACCGTAGAAAAGACTACCAAACCACACCAAGAACTACCAAACCGTAGAAAAGACTACCAAAACACACCAAGAGCTACCAAACAATATCAAGAACTACCAAACCATAGAAAGACTACCAAACCATAGAAAGACTACCAAACCACACCAAGAACTACTGAACTGTTGAAAAGACTACCAAACCACACCAAGAACTACTGAACTGTTGAAAAGACTACCAAAACACACCAAGAACTACCAAACCATTGAAAAGACTACCAAAACACACCAAGAACTACCAAACCATTGAAAAGACTACCAAAACACACCAAGAGCTACCAAACCGTAGAAAAGACTACCAAAACACACCAAGAGCTACCAAACCGTAGAAAAGACTACCAAACCACACCAAGAACTACTGAACCATTTAAAAGACTACCAAAACACACCAAGAACTACCGAACCATTGAAAAGACTACCAAACCACACCAAGAACTACTGAACCGTAGAAAAGACTACCAAAACACACCAAGAACTACTGAACCGTAGAAAAGACTACCAAACCACACCAAGAACTACTGAACCATTGAAAAGACTACCAAACCACACCAAGAACTACTGAACCGTAGAAAAGACTACCAAACCACACCAAGAACTACTGAACTATTGAAAAGACTACCAAAACACACCAAGAACTACCAAACTGTAGAAAAGACTACCAAACCACACCAAGAACTACTGAACCGTAGAAAAGACTACCAAACCACACCAAGAACTACTGAACTATTGAAAAGACTACCAAAACACACCAAGAACTACCAAACTGTAGAAAAGACTACCAAACCACACCAAGAACTACCAAACCATAGCAGGGATTACAAAACCATGGCAGGGACTATGGTATGCAAAGCAGGGACTAGCAAAGCAGGAACTAGCAAAGCATAGCAGGAACTGGTCTTAAAAAACATAAATATTGTATCACTGTGAACAGAACAACCAGCATTCTTAGTGTTGGATGTGTTTTTTTTCCCATAGTTAGTTTTTTATTGTTTTTAAAATGAATTGTCTCCTGTTTTTCTTGTATATTCTTATCCATCCCTGTGTTGAGATGCTATCCAATTGCCCAAGATTACATTTAGATGCATTTTATTTTTTATGTGTGTTCAAGTTGACCATCATGTACTGATTGTAATCAGCTGATAACAGCTGATTTCTGACTTTATAGGTGTGCATTACAGCCTGCAGCATTGAAGGGATTATATGGCAACAGTAAATCTGTAAATCGTTAATATCTGCTGAATTTATTGGCCAACTGATATTTCGATCAGCTCTTGTTATCAGATGTTCCAGGTTTCCTTTAATGTGTTTGTATGTACAACAGATCACATGCTAATGTGTTAGCATTCCAAGCTAACTGTCCCCCAGTGTTGTCTGAAAGGAGTTTGTTTGCTAGAAGCTGCCATTGTTCTGTTGTCAGCGCTGCTGTTGGTGGTGAAATAGTTTATTTAATGTGAAGCTCTTATAAACATTTTGTCATCTTGCAGTTTCTTTTGATGGTTTATGTCATCTTGTGACATTTCTTTGATGTGATAAGGAACAAACAGTTTGTTATTATGGTTCCACAGCTCTACAGCTTTTTTTGTGTTTGTGTTTTTATTACAGGTACAGAAAACAGGCCTTAAAATGGCATCCAGATAAAAACCCAGAAAACAAAGAAGAAGCTGAGAGGAGATTTAAGGAGATCTCTGAAGCCTATGAAGTTCTCTCAGACGGTAACTTCAACTATTTATTATCACTTCTATATATCGTCGCTGTCCACGAATAAACAAGCTCCAAAATGGCAAGAAAACGTTCTTTACTTTTAATGGAAGTTAATACAAAGAGATTATTCCAAACAATTTTGGAGCAGTTCTATTGGTCCATTGAGGCAATGTAAAGGGCAGCTGCTTGAGATACTTGGGCTTGTGTGTGTGGTGGTGTGCGGTTTTTTTTTTGGACAGTGACAATATGTACATGTATCAGCTTGATTTGGGGCGAATAGAGAACAAGTAAATGCAACTTTGAGTGCCTCTATACTTAAGAAAAACCACAAAAACTCCCCTTACACAGGATATGATGCAACATGTATAGGATATAACCTGGGGTTACTTCTATGGCTCATTTTAGCACATGGAATTAATATAACCTTGGGTTATTTCACTGGTTTATTGTATAGTATTGGGATTGATATGGCCTGAGGTTATTTCTAAGGTTTATTTTATAGTACAGGATCAGTGTAACCTGAGGTTATTTCTAAGGTTTATTTTATAGTACAGGATCAGTGTAACCTGAGGTTATTTCTTCTATGGTTTGTTTTGTAACACAAGATTAATATAACCTGAGATAAAAACTGTTGGAATCTTTACTGACATGGGAGAGCTCTGTCTCTAAAAAAAAAAATACTGAACTCTGACTAATACCACTTTTTGGTATTACATTCCCCAACCTTCCCCCAGGGCTGAAATATTTAATAGTTTTGATATTGAAATTGCAATTTCAGAGTGCAAACCTCCATGAGTTGTGACATCACAACCACAACTTACTAGCAATCTCTTGCTCTACATTCAGGGGTTGAGCCTCAAGCCAGAAAAGGTCGATACTCTGGCTTTTTTGGCAAAAAACGGCCTGAACTTTAATTTATAGTTTAATAATTAAATCGCTGTCGCAATATTAGTGAGAAAAAACGCAATTAGATTTTTTCACCAATTTGTTCAGCTCTACCTTCCCCTGTAAAGCTAATACTTTAGTACTGGTACTTTGTTCTGGATTCGAGGATTTGTTTTGGGTGGGATTTCAGTTTCTGACCTTCTCCAGGTTTTCAGTGAATAAATGCCAAACTGCTGGCAGTAGCTCTGTTTGATCATTCTGACTTGCTTTTGTTATGTTATAGATCAGAGGCCATATTACAGAAACTTCTTAAGTCTGAAATCTTATCTGCTTCACTGTCACCATGACGACTTTAGTTAGGACTAAATTTAGGACAGAAGCTTTTACGGAACAACAGTTTGACAGCCCCTAACTTTGACAAGCCCAGAGGTGTCTTAACTTCTGTTTCTATTGTTTTGTGCCGTAACAGGCAGCATAGTTCACTATGACTGGCATAATGACGCTACAGTTATCAACACTGAAGACGGTACTTTGACTGAGTTTTTTATTTACGCCGTTGTAAAAATCTCAAACGCTCAATCTCCACCAGCCCCTTTTATTTCCTTTGTGTAATAATGTTGATACAATATTGCAGTGAGACAGAGCTGAACGTGTGTCTGTTTTATTAGGAGGAATAACGTTAGCGCGCTAAAGCGGCTAAAGCGTTTGGGAAATGGAAACTGAAAGTGTGGAGCGGCGACGCTCTGATAAACAGCACAAAGCACTGCCACAATATTCTTAACTTTCAGTTTATCGCGCTTTAGTTTTATTTGACCTTTTTGTATGTCAGTAATGGTAGCTGTCTAGCTTGATTATTTACGTGTTTACGTTTCAGCTGTGAATGTCGGTTGCTAGGTAACAGACATGACAGCTGATTGTCGACTTTGATTGAGTAAGTTAAAATTTCTTTCCTTGAGGAACCACCGGTGGTTCCAAAACGCACTTCGTCATATTCTTCATAACTTTCATATTTCATGAGCTTCATTCTAAAGGTGGGGGTCATATGAGAGCTGTAACTGTCTTCCTTTCAGTCAAATAGATGGGTGATGTAATTTTAAACCCGTATAATAAAAGAAGCTGAATTTTTTTTGTCTCCTGAAAGTCGACCCATTTTTCCACAAATCTGGGCTATAAACTATAAACAGATGGCGTCTCTTCAGTGATCTGCTCTGTAAAAATTACTTTTATAAAAAAATACAAAGAGCGTCTAAGATTTTTGGCTCTCGGCAGTAAATTGTAAGCATATAGCAATATGTGTAATCATAAACACACGTTCTGTTCATTTGAGGGGAGCTTTTAAAATAAATAAATAAATAAATAAATAAAATAAAAAATGTACATTTATTTCATGCAGTTACTGAATATTTGCCTTACGATTTGGTCATGTAAATTCAAATGGAAAAACCCAAATATACCCTGGAGAATAAGCTAAGACACAAAGAAGTTTCTGTAATACGGCCTGAGGACTCCCGCCAGCTGAAACGGCTGACAGCACTTCTAAAAGTGTAATTTGGCTGCCTGACAGAACGGACACCCACTCTTTATAATAATACCTGTTTTGTTTTTTCTTTGGCACATTAAGAAATACTGTCTTCTTTTAGTAGCTACTGTCTTCTAAGGATTTAGTCCTTGGCCTGCGTCCCTGAGGAGTGATTTTTCTGTGTTAATGAGCTGCTGGGCTCTGTAAGTAGAGGAGCTGTCCTGGGAGGCTGGTCAGGCCTGATGGATGAGGTGCTTTTTCCTACACATCACACTGCTTGTCCAATTTCCCTGTAGTACATCAGCAGAATCCAAGACCAGCACTGAAAACAGAATAGTAACAGCGTAGCATGGCCTGATACTGCGCTGTTACCTTCTAGGGGTGTAGTGATGCGTCAGTCTGGTGGTGTTTTAGTTGGTATGTTAGAATCGATTATAATCAATTACAACAACATTTGTTGAAGTATTTACTCCTTTTTTGGTGAAACTCTCAGACTGTTTTGTAGTGAAATCTGAGGCAACTTGATTCACTGATACACCCATTGCTTTCTGTTGACTCCAGTGTTTGTAGCTGGATCTGTCAGGGGTGCACTCAACTGAATATCAAAGGCAGATTCTGAGTCATTGTTATTACGACTGACCGTGCCATTACGAATAATTCTTATACATTATTTAAGGGTCATTCTACAGACACGTCCACTTTTCTGTCTATCCATAGATGTCACTGGTGTTACCCGATCGTCACTGGTGTTACCCATAAGAAAGGTAACACCAGAGACATTTTAATTGACAAATGCATTTTACAAAATGGCTGCTACAGAGCATCAAACGACATGTCAATCATGGAATATCCACTAAAATATGTAATTTAATCCATTTGTATATAGCATAAAGTGGGTCACACCAGTGATGTCAACTAAGAGCTTCATATGAAATCATGAGCTAAATGAGAAAATCTCTGATAACTGAAAGACTCAGTGGACTCACCATGTGCTTTTCTTCATAGATCCTCAGAAAACAGGTAAAAGGAAGTCGTGATGTCATCAGTGTGATTTTTATTTCAGAATAAGAGTTTTTTTGTTAAGCAGTAACACCAGTGACACGACTCCTGGGGAACTTTTATATATAGTTTATAATATTTATTTGGCATTAGTTTTGTTTGTCATTTGAAATCATATATTCTGTAGTCATGTACAGATTATTGTAGTTAAAATTGCAGAAAACATGTTTTTTACCTCAAAATATGGCCTCAGCCTTCACACCTGACTGTGGGGACGAGCTCTTCTGTGGTGCTTGGAATTCTAGATAATTGATTTAAAAAACAATATTGCTAAATTGGATCAAGAAGGTGTAATTGTTAAAATAACATTGTTTTATTGTGAAATATGAATTAATTGTAACCCTAACATGTTTTTCAAGTGTAATATATCTGCGAAGGCTAGGGACACAAAAACTGACGTTTCTGTAGAATGACCCATAAGCTCAGTTAGGAGTGATAACACATTTACAGGGATATTGTCTTTGCTGTTTAACCTCACTTTTCTCACTTAGTCTTAGCTTAAACTGAGGCTCTTTTTCCTCCGCACATTCAAAAAGAAGTGACCCAAACAGAAACCAGCAGAACAGCTAGAACCATTGTAGTACTATAAATTAATGATTATGCCACACTGAAGCATGCAACTCTGCTAATTAGCTGCCTTGTGTGCTAGTTCGCTTAACTTAGTGGCTGATGTGACATTATATACTAGAGCATTGCGTGTATACTTTGAAAATGCCTACATGTACATAGACTCATATAGAGTCACTCTTCAGTTTTTTTTTGTTTTTTTTTTCTTCTTGAAATTATGAACTAAGTGCAAAAGTTTGAACACCCATGGTTCAATAACTTTTGTTGATTATTATTATTATTTTTATTTAATTTTTTTTTGTGAAGCCACTTAAATATGACATTCTGCACGTTTCAGTGAACAATTTCTATTTATTTGCTGACTTGAACATATTGTGGGGGCATGACGTTTGTACAGGCCACGTGTTCACATTTTCCCAATATGTTAAATTCAGAGCGAGTAAACAGTAATTGTGCATTAAAATGTGAAGTGTGTTCTCTGTAGAGGATGTGCTACCTTGTTTACACTAAAAAAAAATCAACTAAACATGGAATTTGACCATTTTAGGGGTGTTTAAATGTTTGCATATGACTGTGACTTGTGTGTCACACTTTAAAAAAGGAAAAAAAAATGAAGCGAGTCTATGTACATGTACACATTTTTACATATTAACTTATTTTCACTTAGAAAATCAACAAAAACCTGTAATTTGACCAGTGGCCAAACATTTGCGCACAACTGTATCATAGTTATTAGTTCGCTTGGCTTAACACTGCTGTATCATTTGCTACCAAGAAATATTATATAACATGTTTCTGTGCTTTATCCTAAGAAAAAGTGGTGGAAAAAAGTTGTAATTCATGCTACTGTGGACTTTTAACCTCTAAGCCTGCTGTAGAGTCCGGAGACTTTACCAAGCTGTAGACTTTAAATAGCCTCACTTCTCCTTTGCTATCAAAGCAGTTTCTTTTTTAACGTTTACTCCTTTGAGACTTGGTAAGCTGAACTCCAGTCTTCTGTTCTCTGCTGCTACCTGAATCATAAGTAACCCCTGTGGACTCAGACTGAAAACCTATCCTCAGACAGGCTTCTCATTTGGAGCAATAGCAGATGACTTGGTCCTTGGTTATGTCAGTTGGTTACCAAAAGCAGGATGTTTACTGAGGGCTGCTTTAGCACTAAAGTCCGAGTTTTCTATCCTGAGGACATCTAGTTTCTGCCTTGATTTCTCTAAGAAAGTCGTTTCGTGAGATCGCTGCCAAATGGACATGCTAATTTGAATTTTTTGATGTCAATAAATCAGGTTTTTTGTCCTCCATAGTAGGGCTGGGTGGGATCATAGTGAGTGCGTTTTCATGCATTTAATAATCTGATCATTATCCGATTTCTGCAGTTATCTGATTATTTAGATGATCATGTAAACAACATTCTCCAATTTCTTAGACTAGAGTGAGGTCTAGAAATCTGATTAAGAGAGCTGGATTTTAGCTCAGTAATCAGATTTCATCTTCTGTGAATTTATTGTCTGGTTGCAAAGCAGAAATCAGATTACTGCCCGTCTCAGGTAGACTTTGATTTTTTCCCATCATTGGGTTACTCAAGTGCATGTAAATGCGATGCACAGGCTACTGACAAAATCTGATTTTCTGCAGTTATTAGATTATTATGTGCATGCAAACACACTCAGTAATAAGGTATATTGCGGTTTTTAAAAACTAATGCCAGTTTTAAAAAATTATGATATTTTAATTATATGACGCATCAAATTTCGATTCCATGTCTGAACAGCCAAATAAACACACACCACCCATTTATAATTTTGATTGGTCACTAACTGGTGGCGAGAGCTCACCAATAGGTGGTGCCAATAGGAAAATCAGAGCCAGAAGAAACTCAAAAAGACGGAGCATAATAGCAGTTAAGCGAAGGCTAAGAGCTACACAGCACAGAGCACATCCAGTTTCAGTTTTCACTCGACTCTGCGCTCTCAGACCTCCCCTAAATGAGCATCAGTTAGCTGGAACCCTGTGCTGTGTGGCACGTTAGGCCTGCTAACTAAGCTATCATTAGCTTAGCCAAAACACTGCAGTCCCAAACTCCACAGAGCGGTTTTCTCTCGGTTACTCCACTTTTACCCTCTCAGACGTTAGTTTTTATCGTCTACACCTGTGTTAGCAGAGTATAAGTTAGTCAGAATCAAACCTGTGCTATGGTCTGTGGCTCTGTATGGGTTTGTAGCCTGCTCGCTAAGCTAAGTTAGCTGATCAGGCCACAGACCCGAACACCACAGAACAGGCTTAATTCCTCCTTTCTGTCCCTTCAGCTCCAGCTGCTCGACTTCTGTCCCTCAGATTTTAATCATTTACTTCTAAACTTGTATCGGTGATTTAGTTAGACAGAATCCAGCGTGTTCTGTGGTGAGCAGAGCTGTTGTTATGCTAGCTAAGCTAATGCTAACCAGCTCCTCCCTCCTAATTAGGAGCATGTTTAACACTTAGCAGTTGTTAGATAGATGGTTTGACTTTTATTGAATGATGTGAAAATAGAGCTGGGCGATATGGCCAAAAATGTTATCACGGTAAACAAAATTGATATCGTTCGATATCGAGACATACCGCGATAAATGTCAAATCATTATTTCTTTCAAGTTTGAAGGCTGATTTTTGGTCCTGGGGGTTAATTGCTGTTTTAAACTATCCTTCATGGTCGGAACATGACAAACATCCAAACAGTGGAACATTTCACAGATCTGTCATGGGAGAGTGGGAGAAAGTGTCTGGTGAGCTGTTTTTACCAGCTGGAAAAGCACGGCTATTTTGTAATAGTCATAATTTAAGAAAGAAAACAGATTATTTTTAGCTGGTGCCGAGCGCTCGGCTATCCCGTTACAAATGACATCACAGTATTCAGACACCAGCTAGACGACTGGATTCCTCTATACTGTCGTAGTAGTTTAAGGGGTGAACCGCAAAATATCAACACCAGACAAACAGAGTCCTCCTTTTAGGTATGTTTAAACTGAAAGCGGTGCTTTTGTGTCGTGTTTGATCTACAGTATCATCAGTTCGCCGTGTTGTGGGGTGATGGAGCTGCTAAAAACAGCTGGCCTGGAAAGATAGCGTAGCGCTCTCCAATGCCTCACAGCTTCCTCAGTTTACTTTTGTTTAAATCAGGGCTGTAATTTACATGAACTCACTTTTTTCTTTCACTTTCGTTGCTTGTGAATGCACTAATATTAAAATATGACTGCCCGAGCGCTGTAGCAGCGCTGTAGTTATGAGGATTGAGATTTAACGCTGCTAAAGCTGGTTAGGATGTACAGAAAGAGGTGAGTTCACTGTAGGGCAGTATCGTTACACCACTGACCTCGTCACTCTCACTCGGTCACAGGAGAACAGATCGCCGGTTGCTCCACTCAGACAGGGAATGTGTAACTCCGCGTTTCAGCCGTTGCTAAAGACTCATCTTCCTCGTCGCCCCCTCCCTCTCTAATCATGTCGGAAAATCTCAGAAGTGCGCCCTCTCCTGGCGACAGCAGAGTAGTGTCGCTTTCCTTGCAGTAGAAAACGCCTCCAAAGCTTTCGCTGAACGTGGAAGTGTGAGAGTGGTGTATTATATCGAACATCTATCGAGCATGTCGTATCGCTCTATCGAGGAAAAGTTATATCGCGATAATTATCGTTATCGTTTTATCGCCCAGCCTTATGTGAAAATCATGCCCTGTGTTAACTTGTTTGGTGAGCATGTAAACAAACTAAACTTTTGATGATTTTTTTATTATGTAGGTATGATTGAGCATGGTTTTAAGGTTTTATGTAAATATATTATATATATTTATAAATAAATTTATTCAGTAACATTTGAGAAGACTGTCTGTGTGGACATGTAAAAATACTTGCATTCCTATAAATCTAAAAATTTAAAACATTTTTCATTGCAATTAAATCTCAAATACACGATATTGAATGTTTTGCACTCAAATGGCAGTCACAGAATGACCCAGTGACCTTCATACGGGCACCTATCAGGACGTCTGTGCGCCAGTGTTTGTGGTAAACAGCAGGAACTGGTTGGTGTTTGGCTCATTTTTGACACTGAAATAGCAGCTACTGTTAACATCTTGACTTTTTGAGTTGGTTTCATTTTCACTCATAGCCATCCAGTGAGACTAAATTATGCTACAGTACATATTTGCATGCACTTCTCAAACCACATTCCTTATTGTACACTTCACCAGTCATATGATCATTCTCAAGCAGTCTGACCAGTTCAGCAACGTTTGATCTGATTAGAGCTGGGCAGTGTGACAGTATTTACCGTTATCATGATAAGTTACATCACAATATGCTTTTCTGAGCATATTGTGGATATCGTCAGTACTTAAAAACACTTCCCAACTTCATGTTTGATTAAAAAGAGCACATAATTGGTTCTATTTAATTGGATTTAGTGCAACACTGTGTAAAATGTTGAATCCAAGTACTTGTATGCATAGTTTTGAATAGTATTTTTAAAATGCGGCACTGCTTTGTTATAACTTATCAGATGTCTGAAAAAAATATATTGTGACACATCATGTATCGTAAAAAACTTCTTGAAGTATTGTGATATTTTCCCATATCGCCCTGCCTTGGCTCTGATCTCCTAGCTTTCATTTCTACTTGAAGGAAAATTGCTGCATTTTTCAGCTATCTTCTTGTATGTTGGGATCAGAGGTGTCTCAGAGGGTCATGCGGTGTTACAGTGTGATTTAGGTTAATGTTGAGTTATACGGTGTTTGTGTGATTAGGTTAATGTTAGGTGTGATAAGGTAAATGTTGGATCATACGGTGTTACAGTGTGGTTAGGTAAATGTTGGGTCATACGGTGTTACAGTGTGGTTAGGTAAATGTTGGATCATGCGGTGTTACAGTGTGGTTAGGTAAATGTTGGGTCATATGGTGTTACAGTGTGGTTAGGTAAATGTTGGGTCATATGGTGTTACAGTGTGGTTAGGTAAATGTTGGATCATACGGTGTTACAGTGTGGTTAGGTAAATGTTGGATCATACGGTGTTACAGTGTGGTTAGGTAAATGTTGGATCATGCGGTGTTACAGTGTGGTTAGATAAATGTTGGATCATATGGTGTTACAGTGTCGTTAGTTTAATGTTGGGTCATGCGGCGTTACAGTATGATTTTCTTAATGTTGGGTCAGATAATGTTGCAGTGTGATTAGGTTTATTTCGGGTCATACAGTGTTACAGTGTGATTAATGTTGGGGCAAATGAAGTTACAGTGTGACAGCTGCTGGATTAATGCTAGAAGATACAGACTTACATAATGAGGGGTTCACAGCGGGTTATAGGGTGTTACATTGTGATGGAGTCACCCGGAGTTGATTTTCTGATTTGATGTCAGTACTATTTTGGGAGATCATGTACTGAGTGAGTTCAGTTTCTTCAGCAACCAAACCCCTTTTTCAAATCCTTCTTGTGGTTTCACTAATACACTGTGTGTGCCGGAACAATAAATGTTTTTTTTAACAATAATATTACTGTTTGTCCATCCACTGTTAGTGTGACACTGTGGGGTCATGTGCTGTACTTAAACACACTCTCTCTCTTTTGTCTGCAGAAAACAAGCGTAGCTTATACAACAGATACGGTAAAGAAGGCCTAAATGGAGGCGGAGGCAGAGGTATGATGTGAAGTCTGACTTATATAAAGCATTCATGTTATTAAAGTGTATTTTTTGTTTAATTTATTAAATAAACCATTTTCTTTGGCAGGACATTATGACGACCACTTTGGCGGTGGATTCACATTCCGCAATCCTGAAGACGTCTTTAGGGAATTCTTTGGAGGCAGAGACCCTTTCGCAGAATTCTTCGGTAAGAGATGGTCTCCTTCCTCTGAGTAGTTCAGAATGAAAGGGCTGGAGAAAAGATCTGAAGATCTGAGACGAACAGGTAGACAAACAAACAAACATTCGTGTTTGTTTTATCAGAATGTGCAGCTGGGATTTCTGTTTAGTTAGTTTGTTCATTCATTATTTTTTTTTTTTTCATTTGAAAATTGCTAATTCATTAACTAAACAAAATGTTATTAAAAATTATAATAACCATTTGAATAATATTTGTAAACGTTGGTGTTCCCAAGCAGTTAGCTTTGTGATTTTTAGTGAAATAAGTCCTTATAAGTCAGTGAATGGGTGACCTATTATGCACAACATGCTTGAGTAGAGGATATGAGGTCATTTAATTTTATTTTGATTAATTTATTTATTTTTTGTAGCTTAGACAGAGGTCAGATTACTTTCCCTCGAGTGCATCTCTGCTCTGCAGCAAAATAGAATTTAGGGTATTTCAGCACAAAAATAGCACAAAAAAAACATTCTTGGATCAGAATCCACTGTGGCAAATTAATGTCCTCTACAGACCACTTAAATGATTAGATTGTTACTGTGTGGTATCAGGTTGTTATGTAAAGAGTGGACTACATGATTCATGTCAGAATGAGCTTCATATTGAAAGCAATAACATGTCTTTGCTTGTAAGGTCTGCTGAATCTGGTCTGCTCATTGATACATGATTCAGACTATTTTCCATGAGTGGCAGATCCTCGAGGGATGTGTGGAAATCTCTGTTAAAATCTTTTTTTCCCTTTTTCTACCTAACTTTGTTACTAAATGCCTTTGTGTGTTATGATCTGTGTGTACCTGTGAGAAATGATTCTATTATTATTATTATTATTATTAGTATTATTAGTAGTAGTAGTAGTAGTGGTAGAAGAAGAGGTGGTGGTGGTGGTAGTAGTAGTAATTGTGTATATATTAATTGTAATTGTATGTAGTATAGTAATTGTAACAATAGTGGTCGTAGTAGTAATAGTAGTAAAAGTATTTTTGTTATAGTAGTAGTAGTAGTAATTGTACATATTAGTTGGAATTGTATATAATAAAAATAATTGTAATATAGTAGTGGTAGTAGTAGCAGCAGTATTAGTAGTGGTGGTAGTAGTAGCAATAGTAGTAATAGTAGAAGTATTGGTTGTTGTAGTAGTTGTAATAATTTGCTGCTGTTGGAAAGAAACCTTCTATCTCCTTTTTTGTTTTTTTTTTGTTTTTTTTTTCAGTTTTTGACATAATTTGAAAATGCCTGTTGGCCTTTACATTACGTGTACATTTCATGATAAATGGACCAATAGAAAGAGCCCAAAATTACTTGTAAAAAAATTCTGAGAGTCAAGTAGTTTTTTTTCCTTCTCCTGTAAAATCCCATAAAAATCATTGTGGAGATACAAGGTTTTGTTCTGACAACAGCAAATTGTAGAATATTATTATTAGTAGTAGTAGTAGTAGTAGTAGGCATTTTAATTATGTTGTAGTGGTAGTAGCAGTAGTACTAATAATTGTAATTGATCGTATTCCTATGATGTCACAATTGTGCTTCCACCATTTTGGAAATATAAAGTTCATTTTACAGTTTACAGTTTGTAATGAGAACAAAGCCATAACCCACCCAGCAAAGGCAGTAAAGCATTTTAATCACTTTTTTACATCTATATTTGAGTGCATTGCCTTGATTGTATTTGATTTGTTGCTGTAGTGATAAATGATACCTGAAATCTAAGTGGCTGAGATTTCCTGCGTTAGTAGAGCCCCGTCCTAAACCGCATACTACTATACTAAAAATAGCACATATACCCTTAGAAGTGCGCTCATTAAAGATCTGCAACTGAAAGTTTGAGGTATTTGTTGATTTAAGGATCGTTTATTGAGGTAAAAGTGATGCATTTATTGAGGTAAGCTGATGTTAGCTTGTATTCAGCAACTTTCATAGTTCATGTTTTAGTAACTTTAGTGTAACTGCAGTACCATTTCAGGTGGAATGGAAAATTCAAAAGACAAGCTGGTAAATAAGAGGCTAATTTCAGCTTTATGTGTTTAGTATTTAAGAGCTTTGGCAGCCACTTTTATACGTTTTTTGTAAAATCTCACCGATTGGAATGTTCTGAACTCTGGCGATATCCAGTCCACTGATCTAGCTAATCTTCTCCTCATAGCGTTTTCTGGGGACTGTATCAAAAGTGTCCACTAATCTTTTCATGTTTTTCGCCGTCTTTCTGATCTATTTTGCTTTTTTCGTCTTCAGTCGCCTGCAGGGCTGTATCTGCGGTAACAATGATGAGTCGAGCTCTGTCAGAGCACAGAGTTGCAGCTCACCTACCAACATGGAAATATGGTCTTCTTAATGCTGCAGTATATTACCATGAATTGTAGTAGCAGCAGTCGTAGTAGAAAATTGTTGTGGTAGTAGTAATAAAAGTTTTATAATAATTGTAATAGTAGCAGTATTGCTACTAGCAATACTTAATGTAATAATACTTACAGTAATAGTAGCAGAAATAATGGTGGTAGTGGTAGAAATGGTGATGGCGGTAGTAGTGGTAATAGTAGTATTAATAATAATAGTAGTAGTAGTAGTGGTAGCAGTGCTAGTAGTGGTTGAAGTAGTAATATTAGTAGACATGTTGTTGTTGTTGGATATGGTGGAACTAAAGCGTTCTTGGTTCAGTTCCTTGGCTGGTCAGCAAGGATGTTGACTCTGCACTGTAAAGGTCATGGTAAAAATATTGCCCATCTAACAGCTATCACGGTGACTAAACACCAGTTGATAATATTGTGGCGTTTTGCTTGTTTATTGCAGGGGCCGGTATTGTGATACCGATGAACAGTTGATATATCGTGCAGGCCGTTTGTCACCCTGTGTTGGCTGGCTGTGATGCTGGTGGTTAACGACAGGACAGCATGTGTGTAGCGCCCCCAGACACGCTAAATATGGCAAGGGCACTTACACAGAGCTGAGAGGAGACTATGCATCATCCAGCAGGAATGCTTTCAGAAATAGCTTCTGTATAAAACAAGAGCCTGCAGTGAAGAGGGAGGGGGAGGGGGAGGGGGAGGGGTAGGGGGGCATGTGTAACAGTTTGTGTTACTCTGAAATGTGTGGAACTAATGCGAATATCTATATGCGTCCATGTGTAAATGATGAATGACTGAATCTTTCACTGCAGGGAAGGGGGGGGGTGTGTTTACTCCTGTTTTGTAGTGATGGTTGGGGTGGTAAGTCTTGTGTAAGACTGAGTGAGATGGTGTGATAGCGTGTGAATGCGGGACAAGTAGAGACAAAAACATGTATTTGACCACAGGATCAGCAGCTTCTGCAAAATAAAACTCCAGTGCTAAATAACATGAATGTAACTGTGCCATAAACAAGTCATTATGTCCAGTAATATAACAGTATCATGGTGATTTAATTCAGCTTTATTATCATTATACATATAAGGGGATACAGCATAACAAAACACATTTGAGCTACCTTTTTGGTATATTGGTATATTGTTGTATATTATTATTTGATATATATAATGCGCATGTTAAAAATGTTTGTTCAAGTGTTCACTCCAAGTATATAAGAGGTCATTTATCAGTAACATGGAGAGAGTTCAGAATAAGATTAAACAGAAAAGCCAGTCTCTTGGGGTTAGCTGTTAGCCATTAGCCTAGCATGGAGAGATATCCGTTGTGCTGCGCTCCTCGCTCAGCCAGCTGCTTCAGGCAACACCGTGGTTTTGGCCTACAAGACCAGCTTTTAATTTTTAAATTGATTGTTTTTAACTATCCTAATTTAATTTCTTCCTAATAAAAAAAAATCCCATGGCTTGTGAAAGAAAATGAAAGAACACTACTTTGCGCATTGGCACTCCCTCACAAAGTTATTACATGAAGTGGTTATGAATGCACTGCCTGATAACTGAGACATTGTTTTACGATTTTAAGGTCCATTCGTGGTGGAGGGATACATGCAGGGTGTTGTGAGGCAAAATAGTCCCCAAAGAGAACATATTATTTCAGATTTTCAACAATTTTCCATCATCTACATTCCATATAAAACTCGTGTAGGTTCACTGGTGGGTTTGGATAGTAAATAAAATGTCTATTTGTGTTGTAGTCATGGCGACCCCTGGTTCCCATCACAACCACTGTAAAGACATCTGAGCCATTTTACACCAAACCACTCTGAATCTCTCTGTTTTCATCTCAAACGCTGAATCATGCAGAAATTGTGAAGAATTGGTGGAATTCCAGTTTAAATTACTGTGATATTTGATATTAATTATCGGCCCATAGACACCTGAGCTCTTTCAGTGCTAATTTCTCTCGAAATGAGAAGAAAATGTGGAGCTATCTGTTCAGGCTCTCTACTTTATCAGTCATGTGACTCGTGGTATGTGCTATCTGTTTGCCAAGAACTCGCCGAGTCACAGTCTGTTCCATTTCAGCTCGTTAAGCCTTACCTTTCTTTGGAAGATGTTCAACACTTAACCAGGTGATGAACAGGCCTTAAGCTGTTAGAGTTAACTGCACATAATTGGATGTTTATCAGAAGGTGTTGGCTAGAAGTTTCCCAGGAATTCAGCTCTATGCACTGTTCTTTTGGCCCTGAGCCGCAAGTTTTATAACTGATTGGATGGTTGCTGCAGATACAAAATTTAGATTGGATTGTGTTAAATACTTTAGCGCTTCCTATGAATCCTGTGTTCATAATACATATAATTGCATTTCTAATGTGTTACATGGCAAACAGAACACATTATAACTTCTGTATTAGGGTTGGGTCGATAGTTGATGCCGTCTTCTAAGGCTGACAGACATCAAGGTGCTAAGCCACAACTTACGGACTGCAGCGCTGCGTAATTATTTCACTCAGAGCTCTATTTTCTCTTGCTTATACGATAAGCAAACGCTGATTTAAAAATACAGAGGTTAAAGAAAATGTATGGCGAATGAGACCTGAAGTGCTATGAATTAAACTCATGATAAGTTTAAATCTTTCAACTTCTAATCAAACGATCTTAAAAAAAAAAGTGTAAGTATGATTTTCACAAGTGTAAAGTTAGGGGTTATGGTTTGGGACAGACACCTCGGTTTAAATGGATCATAACATAATCCTTGTAAATATCTAAGCTCTGAGTGCTTTATCTATTCATTAATTAATTAATTTATTTATTTTTTTTTGTGGCACTGTGTGTTGAACTAATTCAGTAGAATGCTCCTTATAATACATGATGCATTATGAATACAGGATTCATAAGAGGCGTTACCGAAGTATTGTATTTGGCTTGTAAGGTCATCGGCCTGATGCTCACTTCAAGCTGTAAACATCATATACAGTAAAAACCGTCATATTCATGACGTGACGATGCTGTTTAAATCTTCTGTTAGACTAAGTCTTGGTGACTGTCAGTGAGAGTCTTTCTAATCCCAGTGCACAGATGGAATTAAGCTGTTTTAATTTAGCTGTAACACCAGTGCCAGCCTAGCGAGCAGCAGCAGCAGCAGCGACCCATATTCCGCTTCCTGCACTGGGCTTTTGGGTTTTCAGATGCAAATTAGTGCTGGGAAATGGGGCAGGAACGTTCTAGAAATGAGCAGTTAAATGTCACGGCGTAGCTGCGCTGCTGCTGGCTGGAGGCGATGCTGTAGAATGTGATCCGTTTGTTTGTACTTGTCTGTGCCGGGTTGTGAAACAGGTCGTGGCAGATGACGACTGTGATAAGCTGCAGAAGAATTTGCCAGGTTGCTAAACTGAATGATTAAGCGCTTCACATCATACAAAAGAATTCCTATTAATCATTATAATCGATTAATCATTTTTATTTTACAGACTAAAATAACTTCGAAAAGTATATTTAAATATCATGAACTGAACATTTAAAGGATTGTTAGATATTTTATTAAATATTTGAAAAATATTGAAAACACTCGTTCTTGATATTAATTTAATTATAACTTCATTCTTGAAATTAACTTTTATAGAACATCATTCTGGATGTTAATTTTACTAGAAAGTCATTCTGGGCGTTCGCTTTATTAGGACGTCATTCTCAATGTTCACTTTATTAGAACATCCATCTGGATGTTCTGCGACTTTCTCAGTGATCTTGTATTGCAGATAAATGTATAGAATGATTTTAATATGCAGGTTCTGTATAACTTCGCTGGTTTCGGATGATTAGTTGGACAGAAGTAAATAAAGAAGAAAATTTGATGTGTACAGCGTTCTTAACTGACTGAAGCTGTATGAGCATCCAGAATGAAGTTCTTATGAAATTATCTGAAATTATTGTCCAGACCTCGTCGTATTTCAAAAGTTAGCAAACCTCACAACAAAAAATGAATGCAAAAAATAATTACAGTATTATGTTTTTAATCGTTTACAAACTTTTTTTAACATATCTCTTAAAGTTAAATGAAGCACCTAAAAATACTTTTTTGTATATAACAAAAATTGTTAATACGGTGGTGTAAATATGTTGATGTGGTGATTTTCAGACTTTGAACAGTAGCACACACACACACACACACACACACACACACACACACACACACACACAAACGGGCTAATATTCTGTTTTCTGTCGCAGGAGACGACCCGTTTGATGATTTCTTTGGCGGAGGCCGTCGGCAGAGGGGCATGAGGAGTCGCACTACCGACTCGTTCTTCGGCGGGTTTGGAGGGTTCCCCGCATTTGGCCATGGGTTCTCAGGCTTTGACTCAGGTTTGTTTCTCTGTGTGTTTCTGTTAAATGCGTCTCTCTGATCGGGGTTTGATTCGTTTTTTATGTTTGAAATTAGCCTGATAGTGCCGCATACTTCACTGAACGAGTGATAATTGGTTGTAATCGATTCTGATCGTGAATCCGAGTGAGCTGAGGTTCAAGACTGTGGTAGGACAGGCTTAGCAGGTTCTGCTCATGAGGCTTTTCTGTATGTTGACATTCATTCCACACCAGTGACGCTTCAGAGCGCAAACAAGCTTTGCTGTAATTTAAAGAGGCGAAAGGTTTCTGATGTAATGCGAAAGCTTCTTCTCTCTCGTGCAGGTTTCACCCCCTTCGGGCCGATGGGCGGCGGAAGCTTCACCTCCTTCTCCGTGTCCTCGTTCGGAGGAGGAGGAGGAGGAGGAGGAGGTGGAGGAGGTGGAGGAGGAGGAGGAGGAGGAGGAGGAGGAGGAGGGGGCAACTTTCGCTCGGTCTCCACATCCACCAAATTCATCAACGGCAGAAAGATCACCACCAAACGGTACCACACGCTGCTTCAAGCACTTAGCAGTTCCTGCTTATATTCAGTATTACATACTTCTAACATTATAGTGATATTTTGTTGGGACACAGTTTCATGCACATATATGAAGTCATGCATTGATGTTTTTGTGGGGGTCTTTTCAGCCATGCTAACTTGCATTAACTTGAGGTGTTGGACTGGTTTAGAAACTTCCCACCCTAATAAGTCTACATTCCCACCCACATTTAGTCCAATAACGATCACGGTTATCCCCAGACGTTCTTGCCACATGGCCCAGTGAGCATTTTATCCACATTATCCTCATAGCTCTAGTGCAAATCTAAGCTTGTCTTGGCTGATTGACTACATTTGTGGTAAGGGTGTGAAATTGTGTATATGGGACTTACTGCTGAACTATCATTCTAAAACGTCCAGAAATTCCAGCCATGAGCAGAAGTTGCCATTTGGAAACTAATCATTCTGCAGGGATTCAGTCTTTAAGAGCAGGATCTTGGCTGCTTTAATGTAGGGCTTCACTGGATGAGTTCTTAGACTAATTTTTGTTCAACTTTTTAGGACTACCCAATATCGTTTGTTAATCATGTCTGTGATATTGGCCTTTGCAGTAATGATATTGTATTATTATGTCCCATTATTGAGATTTTAATGCACTATATGGACACCATCACACCAAGATGAGCTTTTAGGACGCCCCATTCCAATCCATGGGCATTCATATGGATTTGCCCCCCTTTTGCCGCTGTAATAGCCTCCACTCCTCTGCCAGTGCGTTTTGGAGCGTGCTCATTCAGTCAAAAGAGCATTTGTGAGGTCAGATGCTGATGTTGGACGAGAGGGCCTGGCTCACAGTCAATGTTCCAGTTCATCCCAAAGATGTTCAGTGGGGTTGAGGTCAGGGCTCTGGGCAGACCACTGAAGTTCCTCCACACCAAACTTGTCACTCCAAGTCTTTATGGAGCTGCTTTGTGCACAGGGGCTCAGTCATGCTGGAACAGGAAAGGATTTTCCCCAAACTGCTGACACAAAGCTGGAAGCATATGATTGTTTAAAATGTGTTTGTATGCTGTCGCATTAACATCAGTGAACATCATAACATCATAAGTGAAGGGTCACTGGAACTAAGAGGCCCAAACCCTGAAAAACAGCCAAGCCCATTATCCCTCCTCCACCAGACTTTACTGTTGGCACTGTGTATTCCGGTAGGTAACGTTCTCCTGGCAACTGCCAAATCCAGATACATCCATCAGACTGACAGATAGAGAAGCTGATTCATCACTCCAGAGAACATTTTCACTGCTCCAGAGTCCAGTGTTGGCATGCTTTCCACCCCTCCAGCCGACGCTTGGCATTGCGCAAAGGATTTTAGGCTTGTATGTAGCTGCTCTGCTGAGAAAACCCATTTCATGAAGCTTCCAAAGCACATTTCTTATGCTGATTTTGCTTCCAGAGCCAGTCTGGAACTCTGTAGTGAGTGATACAGCAGAGGACAGGGGATTTTAAAAGCTACACTCAGTGGCCCCTGCTCTCTGTGAGCTTCTGCTGAGCTGTTATTGTGCGTAGATGCTTCCATTTCACCATAATAGCACTTACAGTTGACCGGCGCAGATCTAGCAGGTCAAAAATTTAATAAACTGACTTGTGGTAAAGGTGGCATCCTAGCACAGTGTCACGTATAAAATCTCATCTGTATGACCCCATTCTACTGCCAGTGTTCGTCTGTGGAGATTGCATGGCTATGTACTGGATTTTATACACCTGTTAGCAATGAGTGTGGCTGAATCACCTGAACTCAATTAGGAGGGGTGTCCACATAGTTTTGCCCATATAGTGAACATACAACACATTTAATAGTCCATTGTATCAGATCCACTTACCATATAAGGGCACTGTGTAGTTCTGCAATTACAGATTATAGTCCATCTGTGTCTTTGCATTATTTGTTAGCCTCCCCTTTACTCCATTCATCGATGGTCAGAACCACCGCTGATCAGGTATTATTTGGCTGATGGACCAATTAAAATATCCAGCCAACAGCATCCTGTGGTCAGAAACTGACCACTGATGAAGGACTAGAGGATCTTTGCAGCAACAGATGAGCTATCATCTCTAACTTTACATCTACAAGATGGACTGACAAGGTAGGAGTGTCTAATAGAGTGGACAGTGAGTGGACACAGTGTTTAAAAACTCCAGCAGCACTGCTGTGTCTGATCCACTCGCACCAGCACGACACACACTAACACACCACCACCACGTCAGTGTTACTGCAGACTGTAATTGTAGAGCGACAAAATGCACCTATATAGTAAGTGGAGCTGATAAAATGGACAATGAGCATAGAAGCACAGAAGTATACACATATATACACACACACACACATCATCTAAACCGCTTATCCTTCTGGGTCGCGGTGGGGTGCTGGAGCCTATCCCAGCTGTCATTGGGCGGAAGGCTGGATACACCCTGGACTGGTCGCCAGTCCATCGCAGGGCAGACAGACAGACATACACATTTACTCACACCTAGGGGCAATTTAGCATGTCCAATTAGCTTAACTGCATGTTTTTGGACTGTGGGAGGAAACCGGAGTACCCGGAGGAAACCCACGCAGACACGGGGAGAACAGGCAAACTCCACACAGAAATGACCCTGGTCACCCGGCCAGGAAAAAAAAATATATATATATATATATATATATAATATTGTGTAGTCTGAGTCTTTATGTGCTTTTTTTCATTTTTTTGTAGTTGATGACTTGTATGTGTTTTTCTGTAGCATCGTGGAGAACGGTCAGGAGCGAGTGGAGGTTGAGGAAGATGGACAGCTTAAGTCCCTCACAGTCAATGGTAAGGAGCAGCTCCTCCGACTGGAACACAAATGACCGCCTCCAGATTCCACCCTTGAACCTCCCTACAGCAAACGTTCCTCTGCGGTAAACCCATTCCCAGCCTTCAGAGAGGACAGAGCGTGACCAAACACGGCCTCTCTCTCTTTCTCTCTCTCCACCAGGCAAGACTAGAGTAGGTCACGTCATACATGCAGGGAGAGGATGCGAGCCTTTAATCGGTGCCATTGCATCCACATCAGAGTGAGCTTTATTGTTCATTTTTATTTAGTTTTGTTTTTTATTTTATTTTTTTCGGTTCGGGACCATTACTTTCCTCTACTAGAGACCTCAGTAGGCAACTGTGCCATTTTTTTTTTCCCCTTGTTCTGCTATTGGAGTGTTTTTTTTTCTTTTTCTCTTCCTGCAAGTGCACATTGCCTCAAACTCACAAGCACAGTCGGCTGCACATCTGAACTGCGCATGCTAGTGTGCTCCTTATTTTCTCACCTCAGAGGAAATTAACTCTTGAATTAAAAAGTCTCAACCTTTAACTCCCGTTTCCCTGTAATATATGAATTACGTTTAAATATAACATAACTGGTGTTAGTAGCTACCAAGTACATGCTGTTAGGTTGTTAATAAATTAATAGTATTAATATGCATTGTTTGCTTTTTGTTTGTCTTTTATTTTTTTCCTCACACTTCTGCATGATTGCCAGTCATGTGGCTTCTCATGTAGTTTATTGTGATTGTTGCACAACCTCCAACTCAGACCTGAGACATTTTAATGACTAATGGATACATGTACATATATACATATATGTGCAGAGGATTTTTGTGTACTTTGTAAGAAAAAAAAAAAAGGAGAGAAAAGGTTTCAGGTTCAATAAATCTCATTTTCACCCTGTTTGGGGAAGTTGCACTCAAGATTTCTGTGTGGTGATTTCACAAAACACGAAAACACGTTTTTCTAATATCTGTGTGTGTGTGTGTGTGTTAATATCTGTCTGGCTTGGCTAATCTACACCTCACGTGTGTTTCACCATGTATTGGGGTTGGGCGGTATCCACCTGTTCATACTTCCAGTCCGTGTCCAGATGTTACTGCAGTCTACATTTACACCTATGACTCTTTTTTTTTTTTTTACAGAGCGACTTACACTTTCACTCGTGTTCCAGATGTAGGCGACTGTAGTGTTGGGTGTATTGCCCATGGACTCTTATTGGTGTAGCATGGGATTCTTGCCCCAGTGGCGAAATCAAACCCCAGTCTGTGTTTGCAGGGCCGCAGTGTTACCCTGCCTTCACACCCGCAGTGATGCGACAAGGTGGCTGGAGATCATTCATTTTCATTGAGAGCTGGCAGTTTCCAGCGACAGGAGGTGCCGTGAACGTTGGCGACGCAACAAAGTTGAGCGGAGTTTAACTTTATACAAATATGGAGCAAAGCAACATGGCGATTACCAATAGGAATTGAGCATTGAGCAGCGTAGTATGCACTTTATCTCAGCCACTGTGAAACGCTGCACTTTGGTTCCTAGTTAATTGTCCTACTACAGGTGGAATAATGGCGGCGGTGTGCTCGCCGCAAATAGACAGCAATCGCAATAGACCAAATACTGACTGCACAGAGACGGGGATTAAATAAAAATTTCTCACCAGGATTTTTATTTCTAGCAGGAACTCATCTGATTTGTTCTTGGCGTCAGTGAAACCACGGCAACCAACGGTGAGGTGGAGTTCAGAAACGGCCACAGGTGACGAGCAACCTGCGATTTGGGCGACAAGAGCCGAAAAGTCGCTGCCGGTGCAAACACAGGGTTACCGACTACACCATACCAACTGCTGCCGGTATTATTGGGAGGAGGCGTAAAAGTGTTTTAGCTAAATGAAACTAAAATACCACCATTTGAGAGCTATTTCAGAGCGCAGAGTTAAGGGTCTGGTGTTAGGACAGCCTATTGGTGAGCTCTCACCAATCAGTGATCCCTGTAAAACGTAAACGGGTAAAACGTGTTTCTTCGGCCATTCAGACAGAATAGAAACTTAACACATCATCATTTTTGAAATACCATCAAATTTTTTAAACAGTGCGATATATCTTATTACCGCTGTACTGCCCAACCCTACCGAGTATAAAAGAGCACTCTTGGCCGCTGTGTTTACTCCAGCTTCATTACCTGCATTAATCTTCTTCCCCATGTTTAATGTACACTAATCACTAACGTTACAGCGCTCGCAGTCCAGATGGGATTTTCCAGTTTGGACCATGAAGACGTGGTTATTCCTCTGATTCCTGGTTATTCTGCTCAGTACAAGATTGGTAAAGATAAATTATTATAACCCATGTTTGCCCTGTTGGGACAGATAGAGAGAGAGAGAGGACTAGAAAAGACTCAGCAGCTTGCTAAGTCATATTTAATAATATGTGCATGTAATGTTTTATTCCTTTTACTGATAAAACTGGACTATTACAAAGCATCAATAACAGAGGTTTCCCAGAGTGTGAGATGCTATCTGAGGAAAATTCGTCTGAACGTCTTCCGCACAGCTCGAGTCCCGTTGGTTCAGATGAGCTGTAAAATTGTGAAAATATTTTGTTTTTCCACAGGCATCTACAGGTTTATACAGACGTTTGGGCTCCCCTGGTCAAATGCCTTGATTTTCTGAGTAAACATATCCTCTACAGCCCATGTGTCAAACTGAAGGCCCGGAGGGCAGATCAGGCCCGCGACACAATCCCATCCGGCCCACAAAAGTATTTGAATTTTCTATTAATATTAGCTCGATTCACAGTGAACTGCACTACAGTCCCCAGCATGCACTGCAACATGATTTGTCGCTCTACTACCCCAACAACAATCAATGGGACAGCAGTTCCAACTCTACACAATTCTACACGGTTCCACACCAGTCGTATCACCAAACAACCAAGTGCAGTTCAGTCAATATAAACACTTCAGCTCTGAGACTGACTGTGGTGGACGAAGTACACAAATCATGTACTTGAGTTAAAGTAGAGATACCCAAGGTAAAATATTACTCCAGTAAAAGTAGAAGTTCCTCCCTTTAGACCTCCACTTGAGTAAAAGTACAAAAGTATTTGCCTTCAATTGTACTTAAGTATCGAAAGTAAAAGTACTAAAAGATTAATTATGACTCTGATGTCCTGTTATCATTTTTGTAACAAGACTCGCTTCATTAACTCATTTTAGGTGAAAGTACTCCAGAGTCACTCTTGGTAAACCAGTCTTTTAATAGAGTCATTAATTAGTGACGCTGATGTCTATTAAAATTATCATAAGCACAAAACACTGAAGGCAAACACTTTCCATTAGGCAGAACCAAGTGGCTATGAAATAACCTTTTGTGCAAAGTTTTGGTTTAAGATTTATTTGCAACTTAGTTTAAATAAAAAATTGTTTAAATTTAAACAGGTTTAAATTTAATAGAAACTTGCTTTAAACTCAGATTCACAAATGAGTTTCTTTTACTAAACTGCATCTGTAGGTCTCTGTTCATAAACATAAACTGGCCAAAACAAATTTACTATAAAATGAAAAATTGTTTGTAAAGTACAGTAACAAATTACATTTACTTAGTTACTGTCCACCACTGGAAACTGAGTATTAATGAACTTACAGCAAAAAAAGGAGGCCAGGTGTCTAGTTCAAGCACATAGGTAGGTTTAAAAGACAGCACCTGGAGACAGTTTTGAATAGGTCTACTACAAGTGCCTATATTTTACTGTTGAAGTTTTTTTGTGTTTTGAACAAACAACGGTCAGTTTATAGCAAAATGTTAGTTTTGTTCTCTGGGGGGTTCTCTGGCCTGTGGATTTTTTTTTAATATGGCCCATTCAGTGGTTAAGTTTGACACCCTGCTCTACAGAGATGAAACTACTGCACATTTTAGTTAACGATCACAGTTTATTTGCTGAATGTAACAAACAAAATGTGTTCTGTAAAAAATTTTAGGCACGTTTTATCTTCTTCCAATATACTCTACTCCACAAACGAGCTGAAACAGTTCACTAAAATTTGCAGAAACGTGCAGTATTTAAGTGTGTTCCCTGTGGAGTTCAATTTATTTTCGCTAAGAAAATCAACAAAACATGGGAATTTGACCAGAGGTGCCCAGACCTGAGCATACAACTGTATAGCAGAAATCCACAGCGTGTCTGCTATACTGATGGGGAATGTGGAAAGCACACGAATGTGAATTTCTGATCAATCACTCTTGCACATTTAGCAGTCTGATGTTTATCCACAAGGAGGAGCTGTTAGCCTGTAAGTCACTTTTGGGTGTCATTTAAATAGAAGACACAGTGAACCCACACCAGCAGGAGCAATATCAATTTTCTGTGAAGTAGTTTATAACGAAACGATGCTGATACTCAGTGTTGATGTGATTTACTTCAAGATATTTGATTAGCTGATGCTGGAGAAGCATGTGAATGAAGACAGAGCAGAAAGTAGGTCCACACTGCTGCAGACCGTGTGTGTTTGTTAGTATGTAACTTATCCAACTTAGTGTTTTTACACATCGCCCTGGCCTAATCCCTGAAGACAGGACAACTAAGTACATTTCTTTCAAAGAATAGGTTTTCTTATATAATATTTTGTACAGTACGGTGCAAAAGTCTTAGGCCATTCATCAAAATGACCTGTAAAGCTATTTATCTGGACGGTATGTGTTTAAAAAACGTATTTCTTTTGGCCCATTCACCATGAAAATGTAAAGTGCAGTTGGTGTTTAAAAACAAAAACAAATGATGAGGCTTGAAATTGAAAACTTGATGTTTGTTGTGACCCCACAATGTTTCCCAGGGGTCCCTTTGATCTTTCAGAGTATAACTCTGACCTTTTAGAGCTCAGCCAATGCAAGAGATTGAAATTAAAGCAACTAAGGAAAAGGAGATTTTAGATACTTTAGTAGAAATGTGTGGAAAGTGACAGTAACATTAACATCTTGCTGTGTTACAGTGTGCAATGTCCATTAACTGGCCACTTTATAAGAA